AAATACTGTTGCAGCCCAGAAGTTTATACAGCCTTGTTCTTCTCAGTTGTAAGTTGTGATGTCAAGGGTTTTGGCTCCTTTACCTGCAGGCATACATGACTAGTAGTTATCCTAGTGCTAGCCTGGTCTTTTCTCAGAGTCCTCTAAGAGAGAGTCAGCTTTTTCCATACTTTCTGAACCCATGTGCTCCACCTCTTGTCAAAGCTCTGACTTCTTTCAGAAGCTGAAATGTTTAAGACCTTCTTGTGAATTTAGCCAGGGTCTAGAAGTGACATCTGTCTCCCAAAGAAAAGATAGACAGTTCAGGCAGTACTGTAGCTCACCAAATAGGCAACAGCTCCCCAGATACAAATCTAACCTGCACTCCCAGCCTGCCAACCCATGAAATCAATCTGCAGGGCAAATACACTGTGCTGCACCTCCGGTCCTTGAAGATATTTGAATGCCTCCATTGGATTGTGTCATCCCCGGAAAAAGTGAAATATGAGGTAAGCAGAGCAATTTTACTGTCCTGGTAGCCCATTTTCTTTGTCCTTTTATATGTTGCATGGCCAATCTGAGTCTTCCTTGACTTGCCAAGGTGTTCTTATGCTTTGATAGTCAGACAGTGATCACCAACTTACTTTCAGGATGCTCTACCCTCCCTCCTTTGGACTCCCTGTCCATGACATCACATGAAGGTGTATTATCTTTTCAAATATGTATATTTCTATTCAAATATGTATATTTCTAAGAATGTGCAACAACTTTCAAAGAATAAGGTGTATCATCTTTCCAAAAGTGAATGTTTTCCCTTGCTGTGACCCCAAGGATGAGGAATGGTCTGGTAATAGCCCCTCCAAATTGTGAGGAGATATGGATCTCATCCCTGGAGCTAGGACTTAAACTTTCAGATTCTTGAACTGGTCATTTGCCTGGGATGACTTTTTTTCTGATAGGACACATGATAACTTTGCTTTACTTGACTGCCTTTCAGCAAAGAAGGCTGAGGGCTGGATTGTCATGTAACACGGTATCAGTCAAGGATGAGCTAAAGCCCACTTTCCATTCCATTTAAATCCATGTATAGGCCACATGTTATCACAGGGATTGGCTAGCTTGTTCTCAGATAGTTCTGTTCATTTCCTACAGCAGTTCACAAGTGATGTGAAGCATGCCCTGAGTTCACCAGGTTTCTCCCACTTCTCTGTATGAATGTGGCATGATAAGAATCCATTTGAAATGTATCTTTGGCGCGTGGTAAGGCTTTGCCAGGTCACATCACCAAGACGTGTTTGTGCTCTCATTTGTGCTGCCAAACATTATTCTTGACTTCTTATCTCCTTTTGCAAATATTGTGGCAGATGTGGTGTGCACTGGCAGCTGCTGCTTGGGCAGCTTGAACCCAGCAGACGTGCCCCCACCACACGGACCCCCCGGGACCTTTCCAGATTTGCTCTAGCACTGGTTCTTCCCGCAGCCCGGCTGGCTGGTGTGCAGTGCCAAAGGCTACTGGAGGCTGTCAAATATCAGTGAGGGAGGGCGTTTATTGCAGTGATTTCTGTAAATCCTTCCACTCCCATTTTCCTAGGTTACATCCTATTACATAATTAAATGCTGTGTGTTTGTTATCCCCAAAGGGCTTTTGTCTCATTCAATGAGCATTAAAGATGATGGTTATTGGCACAGACAGCTAGTAGTTCTTTTTTTTTTATTTTTATCATTCAGAGTGGCTCTGATTTTTGTATTAGCAATGGTATTATTATTTTCTATTTAGTAATTTTCTTACTGTTCTGTGTTCTTACTGTAGTACTATTTGTTCATCCTTTGAATCTTGAATTTATTCTTGTGCTTCTGTACATTAAGAAGGATACAGTTTTGCTTCCCTTTTATGATAAACTGTTGTTATATAGACGGATTACATTTTCTATTCTCTGCTACAAGGATTACTTTTACATGAGTCATTAGATAAAAAGGCATAATAGCACTGAGAACAGGGACTGGACTGCAGTAGGCTATCCCACTCCCTTCAACTACACACTCAAGTTATTCATGTTACCATTAGAAATGTCAAAGCTATTAAGAAGTGTTGTTATGTATTCCAATATGCTGATACTCTAAAGGCAAAATGTCATCAGGGGAAATGTGGGCCCAAGAGATTTTCTTGGCATAAATAAACAAACAGTTACTATAACTTCTTTCCCCGCCCCTCCCCCTCCCCCACCCCCCACCCCTAAAACAAGAAGAGGCTATTTTCAAATGTGGAACTTGAAAGAAGTAATCCTGGGTTAACTTGATTGTTCAAACTGTGCAGCCCAAGTAAAAGAGTTGTGTCAGTGACAGGGATGTTGGTAATCCACCTACAAGGCCAAGTTGTATGTGTGAGTATTCATAACTCCATAACTGATAACTGCAGTGATTATGGTATAAAATTTATATGCTGGTAATTATGAATAATATTGCTAATAAGAAATAATCCAGTAAGAGCTGATGAGATTTTTGATGCACATATAAATACGTGAATTGTCTACCTATTAAGAACTCACCTGCTGAAGGTACTAATCAATAGCTAATCAAACAGAAAATGTTTGGAAGTGAATATGTAGAGTAGCTAAAGGCATATATTAAAGGGTGACTTAAGGGCTTCAAGCTTTTGCAGAGTGACTTTACCATGTTCAGGCACATAATTTTTGTCAGAGTGTTTTAATGATGTCAACAGGGCTGTGAGTACAGAAATGGATAATGAACAGCTAGAAAGTTTTTTTTTTGGCTGAGTTTCTTGCATCTAGGGTAAAAGAGGGCTAACCTCTGTCTCAGCTCCGGCTGGAACAAAGCAGCAAATACTGGGAATGTTCTTTGGAAATGATAGATTTGCTTGGCCTACTGCCTTCTGCCAGATGATGCTACTTAGTTTTAGTGTGTCATACATGAAACCAACCCCAACAATTACAAAATCTCACAGTAATATCCAGGGCTGAGCAAGAGAGACAGAAGGAGCCTACATACCAGTTTCTATGCCAAAGGGAGGAAGATCTGGATATTGTTCTCCTATCTCATGAGAAGAGACCATTTGGATACTACCAATAGTCACAAGATCTCATTTGTGCAGGCTGACACTAATCCGTACAACACAAATTACATTGAGAAAAGCCCCTGGTAGAGATAGTAAAAGAATTACGTCCTCTTTGCAAACCCACACTGCCTGCCTGCTGTGTGCCTTCACACCAGGTGAAGTGGTAGCGCTAGGATGGGATGTCCTATCTCATGGAGATATGATATCTGGCCCTGCCTTTGACACACCCATCGGCTTTTTGAATTAGAAAAATGTAAAAATATGGTGTTCCTAAAGAGAAAACATTGGGAGCAGCTACTTCTTTTCTTTGTCAAGGTGAGCAGGACCTTGCTTGTAAGACCATCTCAGATGGAGAGTGTTCAAAGCTGCAGTTTCCCAGGAAAGCATCCTTGTCACCAGAATATCAGTCAGAACAGCCGCCTTCTCACATCTCTGCTGCTAAAACTCATTCACTGTAAAAGAAAACCAAGGTTGTGGGGAGCACAAAGGTTATGGGAGGAGTAATTTGACTCCAGGACTCTATGTTGTTTGCACTGTACTTAAGTAAAAAGCTTAGAACCCCATCATCCATCCCCTTCAGCATATCTAGACCATGTCTGTCTTTGCTGACTGTCTCAAGCCCCAGAGCTCTTTGTTCCTCTCTAACTGTCAGGGTGGGCTCAGCAGGCAGGGGAGTGCAGCTGGGGAGGCAGCAGCAGGGACCAGCCTTGTCCAAATACGCGTGGGACCAGAGACAATGCGGGGGAAATGCAGGACACAGGCAGAGTGTTTTACAAATTGATTTGCGTTGATTCACACACTTGAAATGCTGAAGCACATTCCCTTACCTGTACTCGGGCAGTAATGGATTCTGGATTTATTTTCTGCCTTTAGCCACTTGCTGGTGCCGTGGGTGCAGCTACAGGCACTGGTGCTTTAGAAGCTTTTTAACCTGAGTAACTTCAGTGACAAATGTGCTCCTGTTACTGAACCTGGAGCACAGGTTGGTGCCTGCAGAGGCATCCATCCTCTTTTCCCCTATGTAACCTGCAAAACCAGATATTCTGCTCTACAGTTATGCAGTCCCATGGTATATCCACAAAGGAGCGTAGCTGTAGGCCTTGCAGGAGGGAGGTCTGCCATGGTCCAGTCAAGACTTTTTCTGTGTTTGTTGTTTCTAGTTGTCTGTCAGCAGGTATGCATCCTTCGGCTCCCAGCCTCTTGTTCTCCTGCTTATCTGCTTCTCCCCTTATATTTTTCCTGTGCTCTGCTCCTATTCTGGCTCATTTTTACTACTCCTTCCTCTTCCCCCAGTCTAACCTCACTGTACATGCTTAATGGCGTATGAACTAGGAGAGATTTCAGCTGGAGTTTGGGGGCACTCTTGGAAACAGCCTTGTTGCTCTACCTTCCCCCTTGCCCTTTTCACATCTTTCTGTGTCAAAGCCTGAATCCTGCAGATCAATAACATTGCTACAATGCATCAGGGCAAGAATTTTGCCTAGTAAATTAGCCAAAGAACAGATTAAAAGCTAGCCTGGCATCCATGGCCATGGAGGATCTGCAGGCAGGTGTCCGGCACACCTGCAGCTGCAGGTACCTCTGAGAACGACATCCGATGGGGATGCATGGAACCCCTCTTTCTTTGGGGGAAAACCCAAGCCCTTCTGCAGTGAGAAGGCTCAGTCCAGCAGGGCTACGAAGGTGGATTTTGTGCCACACATAGAAGCTTTCAAAACTGGGCTTCGCCCAGCTGGCTTCACCAGCTGACAGGATTTTGCCCTAAATGATTTCATCTATTTCTGCAGCTACAGCATGCACTTTTATCTGGAAGCAAACTTATTTGCTTTTAATTATTTCTGGTAATGAAATAGCACCCATATCTCAAAATTTTCCACAAAAATGAATGCTCTTGTAGTTCAGACCTGCAGCCATGAAAGAAAACACAGTTCCCCACTGTTGCTTATAATGTTTATTTGTTTTTAACTTCAAAACACAGGTGAGTTTCTCAAAACAAATAGAGTAATGGGGGAAATGAAGGCGGGCTCTCTTTGTAACTTTCCCAAGAAACACATGTGGAAAAACATACTTTTGCAAAACAACTACATTTTAGCACACCGGGACAGTGAGATTCCAAACAGTGATGAATAGTAGTGAGACTAGCAACAAATTTGGGGGTTTTTTCTTCTGTTTTTCCCCTTAGTTTGTAAATGGCACTAAATGAACCCACAGTTTCCACAGCTAATCCAGACACATTTTTACAGAAGTCTCCAAGTATGCAGTTAATTTCCTAGATGGGGAATTATGAAGATATGCCTTTTGATTCTGTAAAATAACCTTGGTGAAAAAATTGTATATTATAGCATCTGATAGTCTTGCTACTGATTTAAGCCTACAGCTTAGCTGTTTAAATCACTATTCTTAATTGCTATTTAATTACTTTTACCTAGAAGTCATTTTTTGCCAATAGGCAGATACAAAGCTTTCTTCAGAAGCAGCAGTGAAGTGTTGGATTTTATTTTGTGAATAGCTCTGATGCTATGCCTCATCAATACTCTTAAAACCTTAGTGACATTTTTGGTTTCACTGCCTGTACATCTCTTGTTCCACCTTAATAGTCAGGGAGAAAACCAGCCAGTTTGGAGACAGATCAGTAAAATAAAAGGCCAGCTTTCCTGAATCTGAATGCTGCAGCCAGGCCCAGCTCACTGGGAAGATGGAAATAATTCTGCAGACCAACAAGGAAAAGTATGAAGCCACTGTTCAGACTAGAGTGACTAGAAAATGCCAAGATCTACAACTCCTGGCGCTTGCACGGGTACAGGCAGAGTCAGGCACAGGCAATGGGACCCGCAGCCCCGTGGCCGGAGGGGCTGGGAGCCCCAGGGTGGGCTCGCTGGGGTGCCCCGCGGGGACCTCACCGCTTTGCCCACCAGCTCGCAGCCGTCGGAGCTGCAGCAGCTCCGCGGCAATTTCAGCAGGGCTCGTCTTCTCCTACAGCCCGGGCTGGGCAGCACCACCCAGCTAAAACAGTCCTCTATGGCCGGGACTGTTGAAGAGTAAAAAACAGAGTTGGGAATATAATCTCCTAATTAATAAAATTTGGGTAGGAACTTATCAGTTATTTTTGCTAGCTAATGCTTGCTCTTCACAAGTCAGTCTTCCTTTTCTTGCATGCATGTGAAAATCGAATGCTCCTGGCACTGGATGTGCTGCCAACATTGTAATGTGCTTCATAGTGTTTTGTACCTACATAGAAGGAAAATATCACTTTACTGTCTGAGTTGCTTGAGTTGTATAGTCATCAGTGCTATAGCAAGAAACAGATGGACTGGAAATTAGGAAATCACTCAAGCGCTGATGTGAAGAGACTCCTCGTGGACACAAAACAGATGCATGTGTTAAGTGGCCACAAAGCTTACAGTCTATCACATTCAATATCGGGGTTATTAGATGGTGTATCGAGAATACCAAAATACACTTCCCTGTTTGCTGGAGATGGGGTGTTGGTTGGACTTCCCATCCCCGAATCAGGGCTTGGTGCAGGATGCATTTCTCCCACATACTTGTCTTCTTTCTGAGAGGGCTCTTGTTTTTGCTTGAGGTTTTTGAAACGTTTGAGCTTCACAGGGTCCTTGGCTTCCTTGGCACAATGGAACAAGGTGAAGATGTCCCTCCTAAATTTGGAGCTCATTCCAAAGTAGATAATGGGATTGTAGAAGCTGGCAGACTTGGCAAACAAGCTGGCAAGGATGCTGGTAAGATTGGGTACAGGGTGACCATAGGCAGACCATATAGAGATGACAGCATATGGCGACCATGCAATAATGAAGGCTGTGCAAATTACAATAGAAACCTAAAAGACAGAAGAATAGTCTTAAATCTATTCTGGAAGATGACATCTGGGTAGCAACACACGGGGAACAGTAGCTTGGACATCTGGCTGGAAGGGAAACACTCAGATTGTCCCGAGGGTATGGCTCACAGGAGAATACAGGCAAGCAAAAGGCTTGCTTTGATGGAGCCAGGCAAACCTAAAAGATATATATTCAATTTTGGCATGGTGGTGTGCTTGAGCAATGCCTCATTGTAATGGGATGAAAATAGCTGCAGTCCCCTGGATGTTGATAGAAATTCAGAAGGTTTCGGCTAGACTTAAGTCAAAGGTAAGTAAATTGAAAGCTCCACTGTAACTTCTGTGTATGCTTAGAAGTAACGTAACTTCTGAAAGAAAAGAGCGTATGCTAAAGAAAATTTTTGGGTTTCTGCCCTATAATCCACTTCAATTATATTTAGATTATTTTTCACATTTGATGTAGCACCAATATTAGCCAAATGATGGGGTGGGAGTTTTAAACAAACTTCATATTTTTCACTGAGTTCAGACTCTGTCACTAGAGATTATAGAGAAATGAAATGCAACTGATTGGTTTTGTTCTCTTCTGTTTAGTTGAGACTAGATTCTGGAAAGACAGATTTCATTGAGATAAATCCCACCCAACATGAAACCTAAACTCACCCTGGTGACGTCCCGCTCTATTCTCCTCTGTCTGTCTGTGGGATCACCCAGTCCTGTTAACGCATGGCTTAGCTTGACAGTATTGATAATTGACACATATGAGAAGACCATGACTGTGACAGGTAGGAAAAAACAGCAGATAAAAATTGAGACAATGTAGGCCTTGTAGATTGTAGAGAAGTTGGCTTTTGCCCAGTCTATCTCACATGTGCCATACATGCGATCTGGAAAGCAAAAGTAAGTTTGTTAGCATTTTTAGAACATTTATCTGCTTTTGAGCGATTAACATATGAGTTCAAATGCTGTATTTTTCTTATTTTAAACACTAAAAAGTTAATTAATCTTTCTGATTTAATGAACTGTGACATAATTTTCTACATAAACAATATTTCAAGACCAGCTAGGCTGCAACGGGTTTTAACATGTTATCATTCTGTTCAGTTTAGATTTCCAGTGTAAATCCATAATGCACAAACTGTTGTTTCAGGATAGGAAATTGTGACACTTTATTAGGGGAGGAAAAAAAAAGGTATTCTTTCAGTAGGTGTGATATTCTTGAGTGTTATCTACTCTTATTTGTCATAATCTTCTACATAGCAACTTCCTAAGGTGAGCACTATAACAGCATAACAAGTAATTGTGAAGAGACAGTATGCCAAATGTAGCAAGTCACCACTCACATAACAAAGTTAGAAATAAAAATATTGAGGTTTTTTAAATAGAAACAAAAAGACAATTAAATTTTTATTGTAGAAAGGGCCATGAAAGCAAATTGATATGGTTAATGATAAAGATTATGGGAAGATGAAACATATATATATACACTCAGAAGGATATGAGACTTTTGCTAAATGGGAAGCATACAGTTCTGCAACTACAAAGGAGCTGCAGGCTCTTACATATGAAGTCAGGCAGATTGCAGGGTCTGCAGCTAGTGGGATTTACAAAAGGACATTAGCTGCTCAGGTACTTAAGAGAAAGGCAGTGGGAATAAGGTGCAGTCTCTGCTTAAATACTTTTATGAATAACAGGATTTCTTCAGACTTTCTGATGTGTTTGCAAATGTGTTCTTATAGAAAACTTGAGTTAGATAACATTAGAGGGTTTCTGTAGATTGTGAATTGTTGATTTTTCTTTTTAAGTGGAAAAAGCTGTTTTTTTTTCTGACAGCTATGGCAGCAAATTGAATTACAAATAAATGAAGCATGAGCCAAAATTATGTAAGTCAAGTATTAAGAAGACCTGGAGATACAGTACAGGTGAAGCCTGGATGATTTAGCAACAGATCTCTCCCTGATATCCAGTGATAATTCTGAAGAAAAAACTAAAAAATCCCTTAATTCCTCACAGGTGATAGGAGATTTAGTCAGGATGAATTAAAGGAGCAGAAGATTAAAGTCTCTTTTATGATTCTCATCAAAAAGAGCTCGGTAATTTTATCACCAAAAGCTCGAGGTGTTGCTGTCTGGATGTGTTCAGTAATAGAAATAGACTTTTTTGTCTCATCTGCCTTTTTCATCAGTAGACCTCAAGATTCAAGAAGATAACCATAAACATGGCTTAACTCCAGGTTTCTGACTTGTGAAAACTTTTGACTGAAAAATGAAAGCAGCCTCTCCGGATGACATGAAAAGAAAACCCTGCAGATTTCCTGCAGGTCAAAATTCAGAGTCGTGTTCCCCCCTCCTGTGCAGGGACAGTGGCAAGTGGCATTTCCAAAAATCAGCGGGGTCCTGGGTACCCCTGCAGCGGCTGTGTAGAAGTGAAAGGTGCGAGGCAGCCCGGTGTAATGTGTTGGGCTCCCACATCCCCATGAGTCCCCTGATGGGAAATGTGTTTAGAGTCAGATAGCCCAGGAACCTGAAACCGCTGTGATTCTCAGTAGGGAAAACTGTTCCCAGAAGTGGTCTTGAAGACCACTGTCCGGGAATTGAATCCAAAGTACAAACAGGATCCATTGGGGCACTTGGAGGCCCTGACAAGGCAGTGATGAACAAAAAGTCCCTGGCTTCAGTATAAGGCCAAAAAGGGATATCAGATATCCTTCTACAAATTAAGAGCCAATACGATTAATGTAAAACCAAAACACTGATCATCAGAAGATACACAGAAAATGACCAGTCCAAACCCCCCAAGTTTATGACGTAACCAGAGTACAAAAACATGACATAAAATTAGAACAATTTGGTTTTGTCTCAATAGAAAGATCCATTGAGCCTAATATCCTGGTACCATTTTGGTTTGGGAAGGATAGAAGATGCAACCAATCATAGAAATGGATTCTTTTCTCACACCCATAATTCAAGGGTCCAGAGATATACCTCAAAGGTTGGGTATTTAATAAGAGGATATATTCACATAGCTGCTTTAATAATTCTTCATAAATTTCATGACTTCTCAAAAGATGCAGATGCCTACAGGAACCAGGCAGATAACTGCTGGACAATTCCAGTCAAAGATTTCAGTTGTTAGGACTCCTGTATCATTACTATTTGTTCCTAGAGATTTGTTTTGTTGAATTTTTAGATACTTAATTTGAGACATTTTCTCCAACTTTTCCCCAGGAAGAAATTTTTTTGGTGTGGGAATATCCCTTAAGCATTGAATTACTATGGTGTTCACTATTCAAAATTTTGCCTTTTTTCCCCCCTCCCTTTTTTGCTATGGCCTTATCTTGCACCTTAATCACTCTTTGGACTCATAAACTCTCTGAAATATCTTTCTTCTTCTGCTATGTTAGCTTTCATATTTTCAACAAACTGTTTCACCAAATCTTTCTGGCTTGTCTTATTATAGTTTCAAGTTTAACTTGCTGGAACTTGTGTTGTTTTCTAGCTTCCTAATCTTGACAGTTTTTGAAGGATGTCTTTTGATAGTTTCCTTTATCTCATTGCTTAACCATGCCAAATATTTCTGGCCTCTCTTTTTTCATAGGTAATATGCACTTGGTCCAAGTCCTTTCTGCGATATCTTCAAAAAAATCTCTTTATAGCTGATACCAAAGCAGGCAACACTCTGCGCATACGTCATGCATGCTGAATGATTTTCTCAGTTCCACTGATAATCAGTCTGGTTTATCACAAACAGCAAGAGAGAAAGGTAAGTATCTTTGTTCGGTTAAGTGGAGAGGTGCCAAATAAGTACAACTGAAAGAGACCTGTTACCTGTATAACTACCCCAGCCAAGTAATGGAGCTGCTGACCAGAAGAAAGCTGCTATCCAAATGAGAACCAGCGCCACTGTCATACTGCTGTTACTGATGCAGTGACCTGCAATGACAAGGTTTAGTCAGAAAATAATATCTAGAAAGACAAACATATCTCTGAAATCTAAATGCACTCCTATACCAACAGCTAATAAGAAAAATACGGTTATTTAAAAAAATAGTAAGACAAAACAATGCATACTCATAAGAAAACCTAAATTTAAAAGCATCTGTCAAGCTTGTGAACATTGCAAATGAATGGCTTTTAAGCAGGAGACAATGTGTTTGCTGAGTGCTGCAGAATTAACAAATTCTGTTAGACTTATGTTTTTCAATTTTGTAAAAAACAGGAAACAGTTGTATGTTAAGTTTTACATAGAAACAAACAAGAGAAGTCTAAATTCAGAGGATTTTCTTATTCACTTCAAGGTTTTCCCTGTTAAAATTCCCTCTTAAAAAGGAGAAAATACATTAGGTGCTCAAACTACATTATTCATTCAACACAAATTATTTAATCTGTCCTGTTGTTGCCATACATTGTGGTTATTTCTTAATTTATGTGGGAAATATTTATGTACCCACCAATATCTATTCCTCAGCATTTCTGTAAAGTTATACTGGATACTTGCTCAATTTTCTTCAAGAGACAATCATAAATTGTGCACAACCTCAGATGAACATGTGATACAGCTTTGCAAAAGAGAAATGTGGGTTTTACGTATGACTTCATCATATGCAATGGATATAAAATGTAGAAGATGGAGAATACATCTCAGGCAAATTGTAGCATCTCCAACAGCAGTTTGTGTTGAAAATTAACACGTCTATCATTACAACAAACTTCAGAGGAACTTCCTGTGGATAAACGACCTCCCTGAAGAAGTTCTTTTCACAGCTAATACTACTCATGTTATTAGAGAGAAAAAACCCATATGATGCATCCAGTGTATTTATGTATGCTTTACCTGTGGACTTTAATAGGTTCCTGCCTGAAAGATGGTGCAAGCCAGTCATAACAAAGGCATGAAAATTTATAATACATTATCTAAGGATGTGTGAAAGGAAGACTAGGGAAAATTTGTGGAAGGTGTAGGTGTAAAGAAGAGAGATTACATAAGGCTCTCAGTGGAAGTAAAATTTTTCAGCAGGCAGGAGTACCAGGATGAACGGTAAGGAAAAGTTTCTACTGATCCTGTGAAAGGGAGTGCCTGGGGTGAGTGTGGTGATATAAAGAGAAATAAAGGGAAAGGGATAGATGACAGCATGTTTATATAGACTTGCTGATGAGGGCTTCACAGGGCAGGACATGTGTAAAAGGTTTTAGACCAGATTTGTACAATGAGACACTTGTATACCTTTAAGAGGTTAATTTATACCAAAGATTAGTAAAAAATGAAATTCAAAAAACCAGGAAGAGTGATTAGTAAAAGGTTTCTACCACTGGAAAGAGTAATGAACAGTGGTTGGTTGAGATATTCAGGTTACTGATCAACAGGTCACTAGAGAAGGAAGAAGTGTGGGCGTGAGGCTGTAGCGATGATGCTTTGCAGATCTGGAAGACAGGCAGGAGACAGGGACCAATCGGGCAGAGCCTGGTCATGGCCAATTCTGGGGATGATACAAGTAATTTTCATGTCCTGTGGTGTGAAACTGTCCACCGAGGGGAGGCCGGAGAGGCGTGTGGGGACGGCAGGCTGCACGGTGCTGCAAAAGCTGGAGGCAAGATGTGCAGACAGAATGTTCCCAGCACCATCTAAACCAGGCCGTGATGCCTGCTGTGCACAAACCCTGGCAAAACACCCTGAAGAGTGAAAATGTTTGTATGTAGGGCAGCCTTCTGAATCAAGGATCTTATCAACAACTGGAAACTTCCCAGACGTCATCTCATAGAAGACGAAATTCATTGTATACATTGAGATCTAGACAAAGATGTATGCATCAGTTAGTAGTCATTTAAGTTGTATTTTGAAGAATACAGAGGGTCAGCAGGACCTGTGGTATCTTTGGCACAAAGGTGAATTTAACCCATGGTAACAGAAGTGTACTAGAAATAATTTAGCTTTTATTGGAGTTAACTCTGAAGGATTCTATGCACACATATTTGTAATGTAAATGAATGTGTTATGTTCTGTTTTCCAACGCATCTAATTTATATTTGACATAGCCTGTGACTGAAAGAAATACAGATTTGCACCAGGTTCAATGAAGGCAGAATGGGACTTGCTTTTATTCCTTACCTCTCTCGGGATGGCAGCCCTTGATGTAGCGGGTCACACTGATTACTGTAAGGGTATTAATGCTAGCCAGGCCAAAGAGAAGTGTCAGGAAGCCATCAACCTGAAAAACCAAGCAGTACAGGATGTTCTTTTACTGCAGAGAGCTGAAGAGGAAAAGAACCACAGGGATTACTCCTGTCATTTGCATGTTAATGCTCTTGAAAGTTTTTCCGGAAACCCAATTAGAAGGGAAAAATAAAATGTCAGGTACGGTTACCTTCTATAGGATCAGTGAGCAAGTAAATGTTCAAAAATTATATAAGCACTCTGTCAGGTTCATAACATAAACAAGGAAACACACCCTTAAACCTATGCTTCCCTGAAATGACTTGCCAAATGAAGGAGAATAATGTTGAACTGGAAAGAAGAAAATCCCTGAATGGGCAAAAATGCACTGGATGCAGCTGCCCTGCTTAGGCAGAACAAACATGCAAACTGATCCCATGAAATTGAGGCCAGAGAGGGAAGAGCATAGGAGGTAATGGACTTGGCTGAGTAAGAAATGCTTGTTAAAAAATTAAATAAAACCGTCCAAAGCTAAATCGTTCCAATAGATTGAGTCTCAGTGTTGGTGCTGCTGATTGCCTGCTATTTATTAAGCCCTGATCCTCACCATCCCTGACTGATGCAGGCAGAGCCATACGGCTGTGTAGGCTCCCACTGACGTCAGTGTCTCAGCATATACGCACAGGATGGTTACAACTCTGCTAGCTTCACTTACGGGTAGAGGAAAGGAGTTGCTGCAGCAGAGATGGATGTAGCCATCTGCTAGGGAGCACTATATGCCTGGGAAACGATCCAGGCAAAATGCTGAAGGCAGTCCATTTTTTTGAAAGCCTGCAATGATATACCAAACTGGCCAGAGCAGAGGAGCTCTTGGAGGTGCCAGTTTTACACCGAGTGGAGCAGGAATACTAAGCAAGTGAAACTTGGCATTCAAGTGATAAAATTATCGGCGGAAAAGCACATCGTTATTCTTCAGGAACAAACTCGGTCTTTGTGTGAATGGGCACAACTCCCACGGAATTCAGTTTATCCCAGCACTGAATCTGGGGCTTTAATCCAGGCTTAAAGCTGAGACCATGGCAGATTGTATAAATTAAATTGGGTGAAGGGTTAAGAGAAGGGCTGCTTTCACTGGTGGTTTTTCTTGCTACCAGCACCCATGTATTGACCCTATATACTTATTAATGGCAACTTTAACAGATCCACCGCATTTTAAATGCATGCAAGACTTGCAACTAGAACGATCTAGATCCACCTGTGCTCTACTTACTATCAGCTCATGCTTGGTGTGTAAATGCAACCATGTTTACACCAGAAAACAGAAGTCCTTGGATGTCTCAGCTGCTTGCTAGAAGCTGCACTTGGCTGTATTTGGCCCACTGTGTGCTGTGAAGACTGGTGAAACACCTGGATATGCAAACATGCTCTGCATGTCATTAGCCTTATTGATGCAAACAGCTGCCACTTCTCCATTTGCTCTAACAATGCTTCATAGGTGTGGAAAACAACATGGCCTGAGGACTACTGAGAAACCAGACTGCATTAGCTCAAGCAATTGCATTAGTTATTAGATTAGAAAGGAAGCAGTATTTCAGCAACGATGCAAATAAGCACTCTGGAATTAAGTCTAAAGTAAGCAGGACAAGCTTCTTAGTGTGTATCACAGCCCTCCTGTGCTGAAACTGGTTGAGTTTTTCTGAAATACATCCTTGTGTGTTTTATCACCTGCAGATGTGACCTTTATTATTCCACACCCCCCCTTCCCTGATGTCAGAGCAAAGAGACACAATTATATTAAGTGATTAGTTCAAACAGCCCTTGAGCACATTTACAAGGGAGGAAAGTGGGTCTAAATATACACTCTTGCCCTCTACCATTTAAGATTAAATTCTGTCACCATAAGAAAGAATAAGCCAAACCGTTTTCTTTGGAGTGGTGCCTTGCTAAAAAAAAATACAGCTTTACCTAAATCAACATAGTTCATAGGACCAAGCTATCGTCAGCACCATGTCTCATTTTCATACTATCTCACAACAGCATTTCAGCTCATCAAAATGCCGTTGCTTCTGCTAGTGTGGGAGCTATCATCAGGGATTTGATCAGGGCCATAAGGCTGGTAAGTGGCTAAAGTGACAACAGTCTCCCGGGGGTGGCTGTGCTAACGGTCCCTGTGCTGGTCACAGGCTCGGCGATTTCAGAGCAGGTACCAGGGTGAAATGCCAAGGATGAGAGAGAACTCTGGGGATGACGAGTGCTGGGATGAAATGAATAAAGGAGGTAAACGAGGTGGCTGTCAGGCTGCAGAACAGCCTGTACAGAGGCCACGGCACCGCAACATTAAAACATGAGAGAGCATCTAACAGATGGGCTAGGGCTGCTTTGGGAGTAGGATCCTCAAACCAGTATTGTCCCTGCCAAGCTTCTATCAGCAACAAATTATCTCTTGAGCGTAGCTATGCATACACCATTTCCCAGCAAGTCTATCGATTCTGCAGTACTTTCATATTGGTGTCACTTAAACATATGTCTTCAGAAGAAAATGAGGGATCTTACTGTAGCAGTAGCCAGCCTACTTCAGGCACACATCTACAGCATGTGGAAGAAAGATCTGTTACTTTTTCTGTTCCTGAACAGACAGCACGGACTGTAGGTAGTAACCAAAGTGACTGTTTAGAACCCAAAGTAGTCAGCAACAGAAAAATGGCTTTAGCATAGTCCTAATTTCTATAGGCAGATATATTAATCTGTGTAGGTAACAAAAATACATCATATTCTCAGTTTTCTGCAGCTTTAAAGATATATGGAATGACAGCCAAAGAAAAACTAGAATAGTAGATAACATTTAATTACTTTGGAAGATTGATGCTCTTCCTCTTCCCCAGTTCTGGTTTTCCTTTTCTTTTATCCTACCCCCCAGCCAGCTCCTTCTTTCCACAGTCATAATGTTTCCTCCATTTGTCTTTAATGCAATTTTGTCCTTCCTATTATTAACTACGATCAAATAGCAGCAGCATTAATAGGCAATAGTGAATTCTGACATAAACACAAAGTTGATTGTATGGCAATTTTGATCCACCAGCTTTCCTTTTTACCCATTAAGAAACAGGAGCAGTTTTAATAGCTTTTCCTCAGTGCTATACCAATATTACTCCCTTGGCTATATAGATACTCACAGAACTTGCTCATTATCTTTATGTTGCCTGGAAGCTAAGACACAACTGAAGAAAAGGCTGTGTTTATTTCTGCTTTGTACTTGTGCCCGATTTTAAATCTCACTAATGTTCTTGGTATACTATTTACAACCCACAATACATAAAGCTCCTACAGCATGCAAATTTGTTTCTTAAGCTTTGCTTCAACACAGGGAGAGTCAGGAATCCCCAGCGCACTATCAAATTTTTAGCTATGACTTTGAGTGTGCCACACTTTTACTACATTTAATACTTATGCATCCCTACTGAATTCATAAGGGTTGTCTTCATTTAAAGCAGACAGAATAGAATATAACCTATTGTTCTTATTAGTGGATCAATCAAGGTTTAATGGCACAAAAGCAGATTGCCAAAATATCTATTACATTTTCATTTAGGCTGAAACACTGATCACACCAGCCAGAAAGGCTGCATCACTCCCTCCTCTGGCCAACTGGTGAATCTGTTGTAATTTCCTGAAGCCCATTTGTTTCACTTCAGAACCACAATGTCTTGTCTTTCTCTTCTATTAAATATGAGATAATGAATATGAAAGAAAAGTTAAACTTAAAAAAGTGATTATTTTTCCATTGCATATATTCAAAGTCATCACAATAAACTCTCTCAGAATATTTTTTCTGAATACAGATCAGATTATTCCAAGTTCATAATGTGAATAGATAATGGCAATAAACCTTCAAACTCAAGAGACAAAAAGTCACCTAAATCAATCTTTAAGAAATACATTTGGAAAAAAAATGTGAGTGCCTTTGATTAGAGTGTGTTTTAAAGTTTAACAGATTCTTAAATTTGTTAAAGTGAGAAAATATTCCACTCGAGTCTAACGACAATATAGTTTTCCCATCCCTCCAATATATCAATAATGTGTTAGCCGGACTATCGTAACTCTTCTGTCAAATGGAAAAACTACCAAGGTTCATAATCAAAATCGGTCTTCACAGGAGACTACTTAAAATTCCCAATGCATAGTGTTCCTAAACCACTAAACCAGTTTATTTAAGAATTCCTACAATACAGGAAGCGAAAGAGACTTATCATTTACCACAGTTTCCACAATGTCTTTTGCTCATGTGACATTGGTCTGCTATGGTTGCATTCTGCCTTTTAAAATGTCTCAGCAGGTTTCAAGGGTAGCTCTTCTTAGAGGTGATTGCATGAGCCCAAGCTATGATAGCTCTCTGACACAAACGGCACTTCATTTACTAATAAACAATGAGAGCTGATCTGCTACAGGATTAGATAGTTTAAACCATTGAAAGCATCAGATACTCAGTATTTTGCATTCACCAAGTGATTAAACCTTTCTGTTGATGGCATATATTTTAAAGATAGGAAAAATGCAAATGCAATATTTAGGCTATACAAATATGGTTACAGATGTGTAATTATACTAAGTATGCTATATAGAGAAATGTACATTTAGTGTGAGCTATTAATACACACAGGTCAGGTTTTGGCTTTAGTAATGTTAGGGAATCCAGAATAAATATACTTGTTTGCTTGTAGTTATTTGATGTTTATATACTGGGTTAATCAAATAAGGTTCATCATATACTGACTTTGGGCTGACTTTTAGCTGTTAAGAGTTGTAGCCTTCTCAGGTCACAATTTATACTTGTAGTAGTACATGCTCCTAGCAATGAGCACAGTTATGAATGTAACAACCCCACCAAGTGCACAGAATTTAACAAATAGATAGAAATTTCTTTCAGAATTTTCTTATACAGCCTCATCGGATTATAATCTTACCCGAAGTACCCCATCTGCACATGCTTGGAGCACCTGCTTTCTAGCTCTGAGTTGATGCTGTGGGACCATGTCTCTCCCATCCACCTATGAAGAA